TTGGTAGGTGTAGGTTAATGGTTGGACTGGATGATCTTAAAGGTCTTTTCCAACCTAAATGATTCTATGATTCTATGAAACCCTGCCATTTCGCAGGGCACACCATGACACCCTGGTGCCACTCGAGCTCTGGCACTGGCTTTTGTGGTCCCAACTTGTGTCATGCTGCAGGAGCATCCCGTGCCTCCGTCCCTGTCCCAAGCAGTTCAGCACCGCAGGCTTTCCCAGCATCAGTCCTGCCCTGACCAGGCAGCTCTGGGGGAAGGCAGGGAGGGACCTGAGGGCCCACCCCAGTGGCTTTGTCCTCCCGGTTGGAGAAGGACGACAGCTGCCTCTCCCTGCAGCTGCTGGGGCATCCATCATCCTGCACGGGATAGAGGGGAACAACCAAAGCCCTGGGCTGAGCAGAGAGGATTTCTGTGCCTGCGTGGGCAGGAAGGGGGGCAGGCAGCACTGTAGGAAGAGGGACAGCCATGGGCAGAGGTGCACGCCAAGGCACACGACCAACAGCTCCAGCTGTGCACACAACCGACGTGGATACGCATGCAGGGACGGGCACATGGGCTGAGCTATGGGAAGGTGTGGGGGAGAGTGAGACTCCTTGATGGCAGGGCACGGCTGTCCTCTCTGCCTGAAGTCCTTGCTGGTCGCCTGGCTTTGCTCATCAGTTTCTTTGCTGGGGCAAGACTCCTTTCTCCTGGCTCCCAAAAGTGGCAGAGCAGTACCTGCCCTCCCAGGCAGAGAGGAGACCACCTGCACCCAGGGCTTCTGCAGGGGGAGGCAGGACAGTCTCAAGAGCCTGAGGCTCCGGTCTGGGAGCCAGGGCTTGGCTGCTCAGGGGCCTCAGGCAATGCCAGCCCATGGCAAGGGGGGTTCTCAACTCCCTGAGGCTCTCCCCTCTCACAGCGAGCTTCAGCGCAACGTTTCTGTCCCCCTGCGGGCAGGGTGACTGCGGCTGAATGCTAACATGGGGTGCAGCTCCTCTCCTCTCCCAGCTCCTCTCCCTTGAGGTCCCCCAGCTGCTGGGGGCCAGCATTTCACCTCCTGCCCATGTCCTGGCCAGCCCCGCAGTGTAACTAAAGAAGGCACTAGGCTGCAAATGGCGTGTGGGGATTAGCTGGGACACAATCGGAGCCTGTGAAAGCGGTGGAGCACATGGCGGGCTGCACTGGGCAGGGAGGCAGCACGGGGGCTGCTGTTAGTGCTGCAGGATCGCTGAAGAGCTCGAGTTCATCGTGCTTTTCCCTCTCGGGAGATAATCTGTAACCTGATAAACCCACTGCCAGGGCCCTTCCCCCTCTGAAATTTGGGCTGTTTTACACTATTCGTGGCATTGCAACGAATAGGCGTTGTCAGGAGGAAATTGGTGCTTTCACGGATAAACAATTCCCTCCCATACCCGCGTGTCTCAAACAGGAGGGATTTGTCTTTTCCCTGTGCTGCTCAGTCTCCTTCAAGACCTTCCGGGGACTTTGTCTCCAAAGGGAAAAAGTCAGCACCATGTCATGAAACGGTGACTCTAGCTGACAGCCCAAAGCCTTAAACCTGTTGGACTTCTGCAGGTCACCAGTGGAAGGGGAGGGAGGGGAGGGCACAGGGTGACCGCTGGGACCAGGGCATCTGGTGGACTGATGGCACAAAGTCAGCCCAGCGTCGCAGTGTCACTACCCATGCCACCTATACCAAGGCACTCCTGGTGACTGCCAGCCCCCTGAAACAGGGCTGCAATCACCCACGTCCTCCCCCTCAGGCCCCGTGGTGCCCGTGGTATGAAATCTTAACCCCCAGACATCCCCTTGCCCAGCAGCCTGCCCTCATCAGCACTTCCCTCTCCAAACTGAGATAGAAGTAGTTGCAGCTCCAGACAGTTGATTATTTAAAGCTGTCGGGAGTGTTTAATTTAACCCTGGATTCATCATCTGCAGCTTGTTTCCATCCACTAGACACCCGTGCTCCCCCTCTCAGTGTAAACTCTGCCTCTGCAGAGCTCTTCACCTCCAGGCAGATTTGGGCAGAGGTTTATAGGCAGGGGACGTGACCCTGCTGCATGTTTCCCCCAGTGTCCCTGCTCTGATTGGCACAGTGAGGGATGCCCCTGTGCCAGGGACTGCAGGGACAGCCAGGTCAGGAGCTGCTGCTCGGATTTTAGTTGTGCAGGAGGGGACGGACTTGCCGAGTCCCTCACTGCCGCCTGGGCATGATGGCGGGGAGCCCTGAAGGCTTGGTGAAAGCATGATACATTGGGGGAAGCCTTTCTCTCTGACGATTTTTTTCTTTCCTTGCCCACTTCGAGCCCCTCCAGCAAGATTCCCACTTTTTCTGACCCTGCACTCAGCTCTGCCAGGGCTCTGGGTTCCTCCTGTGTGTGGCTGTGGCTCCCGCCACCATCCAAACCGCCTTTGGCATCCCACAGGTGACCTGCCTTTGGCATCCCAAGGGTGAGGCGATGAAACGCTGGTACAACCAAGCCGTACATGGGAGTGTGCACGCCTGCCCCACTGCCCCAGCCCTTACTGCAGGCATGCAAAGCATCCCTGCTGCTCCCTAAAGCTCACTCTGTGGCCATGCGTGAGCGTGTCCTGGAGGCAGGAGCATTGCCCTGCCTGCCATCTGCAGAATCCCAACCCACCCTGGCATCCCCTGGAGCTCCGGGTCATGAAAGGTTCCTCCCAGGGCTGGCTTAGCCCAAACCTAAGCCTAGCACAGGCCCTGCTCCATTTATGGAAAGCTGCAATTAGAGGCTAGCATTTTCCTGCATCCTCCAGCAACCGAATGCACATTGGCAAAAAAAAATATTCCCTGTCAGATCCCAGGCACGTCCCTGCCATGACCCCTGGCATAGCAGTGCTCACTCAGGGCATGGCCACGAGTCAGCAGGACGGGTCTGGGAGGCTCTGCTGCAGACAGCTGAGGATGGGGAAGAGCTAAAATTGCTGGAGCATCCCCAGCACAGGAAAGTTGCTCGTCATCTCTGCCTGCTGGGAAGGTGTTTGTGGGAGATGAGAGGGCAGCGCTGCCTGTTAGCAGGTCCTCAGTGTGGCTGGTGGGGTTCCTACCTGGGACCCCCCCCCACCCCTATCAATGTGTCAAGCAGTGAGCAATTTAAACCTAGCTAAACCCATCATGTTTGTGGAGATTTTTTTTCCCTAGGCAGTGGTTGGCCTGTCAAAAAGTCTGCCCAGGAAAGGGGTAGATGGGTTGAGAAAGCAGCCACAAACCAAAGAGAGACAGAAAAATGGCACAGCCTCCACCCTGAGGACACATCCAGGTCCCAGGGTGGTGCCGGGTCTTTGGGGACAGAGGAAGGCTCCGGAGCACAGCACAGTTGCGCTAGCAAGAACAAGGCAGCAGCAAGGGCAGGGAATGGGCAGGAGAGGAGCTGTGCTGAGGGGCTGCACCCCAGGCTGGCCACGGGCTGCTGCCTGCTCCCTGTCTGCAGGGAGGGAGAGAAACTCCAACCTCCGCAGGCCTGAAACCTCCTCCGGGAGCAGAGCTGACTGCTCCTTCTTGTGGAAGGCAGAGACCAAGGCAGTTGGAAAGTGGAAAGGCTTGGCTGCACCATCCCTCCTACACAGCTCTTCACCGGGAAGGCAGAAATCCCCTGCTCCTTGTGCCAAGAGCCTCTGGCCAGGAATGAGCCAAAAAGCTCATTTTGAATCTTTCAGCCATGGGACTGAAAGAACTTAATATGCGGCAAGAGGGGGAGTTAGTCAGAGCTGCCATTTAGGGACCAGGACATTTATAAGCAGGAAGAAGCATCTAAATTGCCTGAATTAACTGCTGAGAGCTGCCAGGCCAGCCCCGCTCCCCGTGGGAGGTGTGGGAGCTGGCGGACAAGGCTGTGAAACCCTGTACGCCTCTGGGGGGGTGTAAATGTAAGAGAGTCCTTCCAGCCTGCAGCATCCCGGAGCCAACGGATGCTGGTGGCCTTGGAGAGGTCTGCGGTGACCAGGCAATTTGCAGCGCTACCGGCCAGAGTGGTGTGTCATGTACACAGGTAGCCGCAGCTGATGCTGAAGGGGTCACAAAAGTGGTGTTTATGGACAGCACTCCAAAACATTAATTCCCCTTTCAGTAAGAGGGACAAGATTTAACCTCGTGGGCATGCTGGCACTGTACCACATGCCTCCCACAGGCAGGCTGTAATAGCTGGTCTTCTGAAGTCGCTGGACATGAAATGTGTTGGAGCTCCCAGGTGGCAGAAGGCGCAGCCAGTGAGCAGGTCTCCCAGCCACAGCCGCATTTCCCAGTACCCAAACTGGCCCTGTGAGCACCAGCTGCTCTGCCAGGTCCCAGAGGTGGAGGGTGCAGGGTGTCCCAACTTGGACAGGCATGGCTCATGGCAATGGAGATGTTCAGAAATCCTCCTCACCCAACCAGAACCATCGATGACTGCTGAGGCTGTGAGGACAGCCCAGCCAGCAAGACGCTCGCCTCACTTTCCCTCCCAGCCTGGCTGGTTTGGGCTGTACGAGCTCTTCAGGACAAGCCTTGTCTCCCCTGCAAGCCCACGCTCCCCAGGGAGGGGTGGGCCCCGGCCCCCTGGCAGCCTGCAGGTGCTCTGCTCAGATAAACACTGACGAGGCGCTTGCAGCGGGCACTGCAGGGTCCCCAGCCTGTGCCTCACCGCCCCGGCCTGGCGTGCCGAGCTCGCTGTGGCTGTGACCTCCCCCTGTGGCAGGCTGCACAGCAGCCCCAGCTCATTTTGCAGCACTGTGGGCGTGCGGGTGGCTGGACACTTGCTCTTGGTGGCTCCTCTCCACCAGACAGCTGGCTTGACGTCTTCTTGGGGACAAGCTGAGCTGCTGAGCTGTCACTCGCGGTCCCTCGAGCACCCTCCCCAGCCAGGGGCCAGTGGGACGCAGGTCCTGACCCGCACACAGCCCACTGTGGTGCAGCCTTCCCCCTTCTCTGCTTGCAGCTGGCAGCGGTGGCATCTCGGCGCTGGACCATGGTGCTGTGAGGGTGAGCTGCCCCTTCCCCAGCTGCAGAGCGCCAGGATGCATGCTGCCCCCGGCCACAGGCTGCCCCTTGCCACGCTCCTCCTCTGCCTCCTCCTGCAGCAGCCGGGCAGCAGCAAGGCATGGAAGCAGCATGCCCCGCGCCTTCGCCTCGCCTACAAAGGTAAGGGGGCCACCCAGGTGGATTTCCTTGGGGTCTGCACCTTGCTTGGGAGGGCTGGGAGAGTGTCCTGCAGATGGGGAGCGAAGGGGGTGGCCAGGGCTTGGAGGAGGCAGGCTGTAGCCCCACCATTGCAGCTGCAGCATCTCCACACATTGGGCCCTCGGGATGTTTCGTGGCTGCAGCCCCAAGCACAGCCCCTGAAGATGCTGCACTGGTGGTGCTGGCATTGGAGAAGGGGGCTGAGCAGGGAACACCCTGCCCTGGTTCAGCATAATGCCAGGACTGGCAGGGATGTCTCCTGCTCACACTCACTCTGGGCATCTTACAGTGGGCTGGAGCTGACCCGGGCAGCCCCAGATCTTCACGCTTGCAGTGCAATGGGGACACTGAGCCCCAGGCAGTGCTGCTAGCCCCTTTCTCTGCCTCCCACCAGCACAGTCCTGCCCCAGTTCAGCCCTTCTGCCCTTACCCCCTCCCTTCCTGCCAAGGAGAGGCTGATCCGTTGCACAGATCATTTCCCTGCTGCACTTTACCCTTCCCCCCTGAGTCTGTCTTGTCTGTTTAGATTATGAGCTCTTCAGGGGAGGCACAGTTTGCTCTTCTTGTGCCTGATGCAAAGGGAGGCCTCTTCTTGGTCATCTGAAGATGCAACAGGAGCAGACTGACAGGTAGCACAGTACACACCCTAGCAGGGAAGTGCAAAAGGGGAGAGTGTCTAGGGAAAGGGTCTCTGCAGGGGAATGACCGGAGTGGTTAGAGCAGAGCCCTGCTAGCCTGGCAGCTGGTCACCCTGCCATGGACCTGCAGCATGGGCTTGGCCAATTTACCTGTTTTCAGCTTCTCCTATATGAAAAAGAGCAAGTTGCTTTGACGGACAGAGAGTTCAGCACATCCCTGGTGCTGCCCTGGATATGGTAGTAGGCAGAGCTCAACCAGCCCTTCTCCATACCTGTGAGGTGGCAGTGTGGCTTTCCCATGGGAATCGTGCTCAAAGGTCTGGGGCCATGCTCTTGGCCTGCTCCATCACCCTGAGAAGCTGCTCTCTGGGCACTGGCCACTGGCAATGTGGGAGATGCCCCCGGCTTGTGGCTGGAGAGGGCTGGATCTCCCAGGGGTACAGGATATCCCTGCAGGGAGATGGTCCCTGCTGATAGCCCAGCTCGGAAACATGGTGCAGGGTCTGCCTTTTCTTGGAGCTGGAGGAGGCAGAGCAGGGCTGCTGGGGCAGCAGGAGCGCAGAGGGACTGCTGACTTCAAAGCCCCACACCGTGCTGGGGCCAGACATGCCAAAAGCCCTCAAGTCTTGGGCAGAGGCAGGAGAGGAAGCTCCCAGCATCAGGAGGGCTCAAGGACAACGTGAACAATGGCAGGGGATGTGACTCATGGACAGCACGGGGCAGGTTCAAGGACACAATGCCTTGAGAAGTTTAGGTTTAAAAACCCCTAGAAAAAAAAAATAAAAGGAGGCCTTTGAGCATCCGTCTACAGGATCAGCCTTGCCCTCAGATCCCAGCGTGGGGGAGGCAGGCAGAACCCTTGGGGGGCGGGGGGAGAAGACGCAAGCAGGCTTGCGAGAAGGAAATGACAGCACCGAAGGCTGGGAGAGCAAAGGAAGGATGGGGCACGGGGCACGAGGCCAGGAACAACAGCAGTCGCTCCCACCCTACCGAGGAGGCGGTTTATAATAGCACGCCTGCAATCACGGCCGCGTGAGAGGCAGTCTCCGGGTAAGCTGGGTCAGGCTGGGTCAGCCCTGATGCTGCCCAGAGCTGAGCCTCTCTGTTTTCTGAGGGCATACAGCTGTGCAGCTATGCCGTGAAACCACAGCACGCCTCCCGGCTCCTCTTGCTGTAATAACCCAGGGCAGGCATGGCTAGGAGTTGGCAAATGTGTTTTCTGCCAGCCTTTGATCTGCAGCCAGCCCAGCCGGGCACGACCCAGAAGCCATCACCAGGCAGCAAGTGCTCAGGAGCGCGGGAGGCTGGTGGGTCTCTGGTTATCGGTACCAAAAGCTGCACTGGCACGTCTCTTATCAGCCGACAGCAGCGAGGGGCTGGAGCCCGATTTAGCGCCAAGTTTCCCTGGGCTTCAGGGATCTATTCCATGGTCTTCTCTGTCTGATGGCTGGGGGAAGGGGAAAGGACAAGCCCCCGGCACAGCCGGGCTGTGACCCCAGGAAGCCCAGGGTCGCCCTGCACTGAGGCTGCTGTGGCTAAGGGGCAGGCGGAGATGATGGATGGGACAAGGCGGTTACAGTGGTCCGGACAACAAAGAAAAACACCGTGGCCTTGGGAGATAATGAGCACAAAGGAGAGGATGTTTCTCCGGGCTCAGCCGTTGGTTTAGCCACTGCGCAGCTGCTGCAGAGACCGCCTGGTTCCCTGCCTTGAGGGTTGGGCTTGGATCAAAAGCCCTGTGCGTATAGCTGGACTGGGGGCAAGAAGAGGCTGGTTTGTGCACAGCAGCTTCCTACGTACGGGGTCTGGATCCACAGCACTCACCGTCCCCTTGGTGAGGGAGCAGAACCGTGCCACAGAGTCAGGCTCAGACCCTCATGGTCATTGACGCTGCCAGAGGTCTCACGGTGCAAGTGCAGGGCAGTGAGTCCTTCCTGAGCCCTCCCACATGCTATCACAGCAGCAGGGAGGGCTCCTCCACCATCCTGCCTGACCTTGTCCTCAGACAGGGCTGGGGCAGGTCAGAGAGTGGCCAGCGGGTGACGTTCCCTGGGACCAGCCTTGCCCCACTCTGCTTAATGATACCCATGCATTGGATGAACCTTTGACCTTCCCTCCCACTCCAACCTGACTTCCCAGCACCAACATTTCCCCCTGGATCTGGCAGGTCCTGGGAGCGTTGGCAGACACAGGAGGGTGGGCAATGCACAGCAGCCTTCACAGCAGTGACAATGGCTCGCAGGCAGGGACAGGAATTCAGCTGTTAATCCCATTCAGCCAGTGGGAAATGGCTTGGAAATCTGCCCCCCATATCCACAGCACCCAGAGAACACCCCTTGAGAACTCAAGGGATAGCGGGGAGTAAAGTGGGGCTGTGCATAATTTTTGTGGGAGCAGAAGGAGGGCCAGTAGCTCCCTGACACAGCTGAGAGCGTCTCCTGGCAGAGGGGGATTTGTGTCCCGCAGTAACTGGAGCTCTGACCCTGGAGGAAGGGGAGAAGGAGAGGACAGCTGGGAGTGAGCCTGGCTGCGCCGGCGTGGATCCGGGCAGGGACCCCTGCCTGCTGCCTGTGGCTCAGCAGGTCCTTCCCCTGCAGGGACGAGCAGACGTCAGTGGTGTTTCCAGCTCGCAGGCACTGGCCCTGCTTCCCCCCTGCACTGGAAATGGGGTGGAAGGAAGAGAGACGCAACCTCCTGGGGCAGCCGGTCCTTTTAGAATGGAGCTGTGCCAGTGCCCACGTACGCCTCACCTGCGTCTGGGGCCCCCCGTACGCCCACGCTCCCAT